ATCTTTGACAAACTTCCCCAAATGCAAATTCTTTTTATTTTATTTTATTTATTATTTTTTTGAGACAGAGTCTCGCTCTGTCACCCAGGCTGGAGTGCAATGGCACACTCTTGGCTCACTGCAATCTTTGCTTCCTGGGTTCAAGTGATTCTCCTGCCTCAGCCTCCTGAGTAGCTAGGATTACAGGTGTGCACTATGACGCCTGGCTAAGTTTTGTATTATTGGTACAGGTGGGGTTTCACCATGTTGGTCAGTTTGGTCTCGAACTCCCAACCTCAGTTGATCCTCCTGCCTTTGCCTCCCAAAGTGCTGAGATTACAGGTATGAGCCACCACTCCTGGCCTTCTTTTTTATTTTTTATTTTTTTGAGACGGAGTCATGTGCTGTTGCCAAGGCTGGAGTGCAATGCCATGATCTCAGCTCACTGCAACCTCGCCTTCCAGGTTCAAGCAATTCTCCTACCTCAGCCTCCCAAGTAGCTGGGATTACAGACACCCACCATCATGCCTAACTAATTTTTGTATTTTTTGTAGAGATGGGGTTTCATCATGTTGGTCAGGCTGGTCTTGAACTCCTGACCTCAGGCGATCCATCTGCCTTGGCCTCCCAAAGTGCTGGGATTACAGGCATGAGCCACCATGTCTGGTCTGTTTTTATGACTTTTATTCAAAAGACTGTTCTTTGCTCAAATGTTTTGTTTTTTTGGAATTAAGAAACTGTTCTATCTTAACTTACCTCTAATATACATCTGTTTGATAAAGTATACTTTTGTGAGCCAAGGTCTCGCTCCGTCACTCAGGCTGGAGTGTAGTCATGCTGCTGTAGGACAGGTAAGCTTCAAATTGGGACTTAGGCCACGAGGGTTTTTGGCTTTGGCCAGGAAATAATTCAGGGTGAGCTGATGATAGAAGAAAGAGGCTTTATCAAAGAAGCAGTGTTACAGCTCTGGTGGTGTTACAGCTTTGTGACTGCTCTTATGGGGAACCTCATAGGCAGTGTGCTGAAAGTAGCAGCTCAGAGTAGCAGCTCAGGGCAGTTTTGCAGTCATATTTATACCTACTTTTAATTACATGTAGATTAAGGGTCAGTTTATGCAGAAATTTCTAGGAAAAGGGTGGTAACTTTGGTCATCGGGTTGTTGCCATGGAAAGGGGTGGTAACTCCGGGTGTTGCCATGACAATGGTAAACTGACATGGCTCACTGGTTGGTGTTTCTTATGGAAAGCTGCTTCTGCCCCATCCCTGTTTTAGCTAGTCCTCAATTTTGTCCAGGTCTGAGCCCCACCTCTGGAGTCAAATTCTGCCTCCTACCTCAGTGTGATCAATGCTCACTGCAGCTTCAGCCTGCTGGGCTCAGGCAGTCCTCCTACCTCAGCCTCCTGAGCAGCTGGAACTACAGATGTGCGTCACTGTGCCTGGCTAATGTTTAATGCCTGCCCCAGCTGCCTGGCTTCTCCCTGCTGTCCACACCTCCTCCTATCTTGGAGCAAAGTCAGGCCAAGCCGGCTCGCCATGAACAGTGGGACAGACATGAGAGAGTCCCGGGAAAAAGGGGTAGGTCCCTGGTAAGGTTTCTCCTTCTGGCCAGGGAAGGCCTGAAAGCTGGTGGCCGGGCCACCAGTCCCACAAACTGGAGTGGCAACTGGTGCCTTTTCCAGGCCTGCCCATGGCCACCCATGGGCAAACTGGCATGCACTTCCTGCCCTCTGAGGCTCACAAAGTCCCCCTGGCTCAGCTAGAGCTGAGCAGTGCCACTAGCAGAAGAGAAGAGGCTAGTGTCTCTGCTGAGACCCTCAGAGACCCGCAGAGACCACCGAACAACTTGCCTGAGGAGAAGAGCTACCCTCTCCAGCGCCTCCTCTCTGCTGAGAACTGAACACTCGACGGACAACCTGCCTGCCCACAGAGGGGAGCTACTCACTATGGGTCTCCTCTGAGCTGTTCTTTTTTTTCTTGAGACAGAGTTTCGCTCTTGTTGCCCATCCTGGAGTGCAATGGCACAATCTCAGCTCACTATAACCTCTGCCTCCTGGGTTCAAGCGATTCTCCTGCCTCAGCCTCCCAAATAGCTGGTCTGAGGATCTGAGGATCCGAAGTTGTAGGTGGAGCTCCTCACCGAGTGAGGGTGAGGACAGGGGGCTGGTCTCCTGAGGGAGTCTCCCGTCCTGGGTTTTGGAACCAAATGTTACACGCATCCGTGTGTAGAGATCGCCACAGGCTTTGTGTGAGCAACAAAGCTGTTTATTCACTTGGGTGTAAGTGGGCTGAGTCTGAGAAAGGAGTCAGCAAAGGGAGATAGGGGTGGGGCAGTTTTACAGGATTTAGGTAGGTAAGGGAAAGTTACAGTCAAAGGTGGTTATTTTTTGCAGGCAGGGGCGGGGGTCACAAGGTGCTGGGTGGGGAACTCCTGAGACTCATTGCCCAGGAGAAGAATGTCACAAGGTCAAGTTGATCAGTTGGGGTGGGGCAGGAACAAATCACAACGGTGGAACATCATCAGTTAAGGCAGGAACTGGCTGTTTTACTTCTTTTATGGTTCTTCAGTTGCTCCTGGCCATCTGGATGTATACGTGCAGGTCACAGGGGTTATGATGGCTTAGCTTGTGCCCAGAAGCCTGACAAGGAGTTCAAGACCAACCTGGCCAGCATGGCAAAACCCTGTCTCTACTAAAAATACAAAAATTAGCAGGGTGTGGTTGGACGTGCCTGTAATCCCAGCTACTTGGGAGGCTGAGGCAGGAGAATCGCTTGAACCTTAGAGGCAGAGGTTGCAGTGAGCTGAGATGGCTCCACTGAACTCCAGCCTTGGTGACAAAGTGAGACTTTGTCTCAAAAAAAAGAAAGCAAAGACGTTTTAAAGCAAGGCAAAAAACCCAGAAATTATTTTTAAAATCAATTCTTTTGGCTGCATAGAAAATGTGTTTTACATCAAATGTTGAAATAGTAACACAGCAAAATACGTAGTTATGTATTTTCTAGATGCATAACACATCGGCTCCTTCCCCTACGGCCCGTCCCCCTGTGGCCTCGCCGGCAGGCCTGGCTGTAACTTCAACCTTTTCCTCTGGGCCTGGCCCCACCTTCCTCGCCGCCCCCGAGAGTGGGCCCCGCCACTTGCCCGTAGCCCGGCCCACAGGCCTGGCTCTAACCTCGACCTTGTCCTCTGGGCCCACTTCTGCCTGCAGCCCCGGCGCTGAGCCCACCCTAACGTCCTCCGCAGCCAAGCAGGAGAAAACTAGAATTTTTCTGCCTGGAGGAGGTCTTACGTGGCAGAAACTCTATTACCAAAACCCCGCCCGGCCCGTGGCGGAGAGCTGAAATGACGTCAGCGGGGCGCCCTTCATTCTGTGACGTCAGCTGTGAGCGCCTGAGAGTCTCTTTGCCTTTCAGAGTTAGGGCCTCTCTGTCGTTGGTGAGTTCCGCGGAGATGAAGTGGTTTAGGGGTAAAGGACCGGTTTGGCCCGGACCTTAGAGAGGCCTGGCCCACTCCTCTCGCGTCCGTAGGGGCCGCTGGTGTCCGCTGGGACCGTCGCTCCCCGGGAGGAGTCGGGCGTCTAGTTGCGGTGTCCGCAGGGTGTTTTCATCTGTGCTCCCCTCTCCAAAGGCCTCCAAAGCAGCGTTTGTGAATTTTTTTTCCAGCGGGAAAATAATTTACGCCTTTTGCATCCACGTTGGCTCCGTCCCCAGGGTCCTTCAGGTTCAGGGACCTGGCGATTTCTGAGTTCGGTAAGCACTGGGTGAAAGTTGGTTCTAGGGGGCCTTTTCTGTCTTTTCTTATGCAAACGAATATTTCATCTGTAAGTTTGGTTTCGTCTTTGTGCGTTGTATTTTATTTTTGACTATTACTTTCATGGCGAAAGATAAAGATACTAGGTTTATAGGGTGTGCATATTTGTGTATGTGAATACTAACGTTTGTAGACCGCCAAGTCTTTGTGCTAAAGAATACTAAAAAAAACTTATTCTCTTCGAATGGAGTTCCTAGGCCCGTGCCTCCCAAGAGAGCTTCACAATCAGACCTCCAGAAGGAAAGGATGAAGGCTTTATTATTTTAGTGTCACAATCATCAAATTTACAGTTAACTGGGTGGTTGGATTAAGGAGTTCAAAACCAGGCTGGCCAAGATGGTGAAATCCCGTCTCTACTAAAAATCAAAAAAAAAAAAAAAAATTAGCTGGGTGTGGTGGTGGGATATTGTAATCCCAGCTACATGGGAGGCTTAAGGCAGGAGAATCACTTGAACCCAGGAGGCGGAGGTTGCAGTGAGCCGAGATCATGCCACTGCACTCCAGCCTGGGTGACAGAGTGAGACTCTGTTTCAAAAAAACAAAGAAAAAAACAAAGGATGTGTGTATTTTAAGCTACATTGATTATATATCAATAAAAAAAATAGTTGACTGGGTACAGTGGCTCACACCTGTGATCCCAGCACTTTGAGAGGCTGAGGCAGGAAGATCTCTTGAGCCCAGGAGTTTAAGATCAGCCTGGGCAACACAGCAAGACTCCATCTCTCCAAAAAA